AGCACCAAGCAGGAATCACAGCGACAGCTACTGCTTCAGGCTCACACTTTCTACTGTTTATTATTCTTTTCCTTCCTGGCCATGTCTCCATCATTATTATTCTTTTCATGTGAAGGAGGAAATTTTGCTACCAAACCACTGTTTGTGGTCCCTGCTGTGCACGCCGCTGCCCAGGTTGGCACGCCGCTGGTTTGGTGTGGACAAGCCACTGGCCTGGCCATGTTCACAATCCGGGCAAAGCTGGATGACTGCCCAAGGGAAAGCTGTCTCTGGATACACCAGGTTACTACAGGACTCCTTTCTTAAGTATTTTCAACCATTAGAGGTCAGGGAAAAGACGCTGGCCTAAGTCAACCAGCATGGCTATCCTTATTGTCCTCAAAACTCTCATCAAATGCAGTCACTGAATGCAAGCAAGGGTGGGGAGTTCACAGAGGGAAAGCACGAGCCCAACCTAGAGAGGAACAGTTGCAAAACCTTATTGAGTGCTGTGAGGCAGAAAATGCCTCTTGTCTCTCTTGCTCCAGTATTCAAAATATGAAGCGCTCCTCAAAAAATATCCCCGTGTCACCAAAAATGGTAAAATGTCAGAAAACCAGTAAGTGACAATAAAAAAACGTACACGCCCTTGAGAGAAGGAGAGAGCAAGCAACATACCGTGTAGCAGCCCTTTCTACCAGACCAGCAGGGCTGCTGTTGCCAAACCAGCCGTGAAGGATTACATCCCAAATGCTGTGAGTTAAGCAGTGCATGCATCCACCAGATCCCCTGCAGGTAACTCCATCATAAGATGTGACTCCTTGCTGGCATCAGGCAAGTCCATGAGCACTAGTCTGGATATTAGGAAAAATGTCTTTACTGAAAGAGTGGTCACGCATTGGAACAGTCCACCCAGGGAAGTGGTGGAGTCACCATCCCTGGAAGTGTTCAAAAACTATGTAGATGTAGCACTTCAGGACATGGCTTAGTGGGTATGGTGCTCTTGGGTTGATGGTTGGGCTTGAGGATCTTAGAGGTCTTTTCCAATCTTAATGATATTATGAGCACTTTGAATGCATGAAGGATGGGCAGGGGGTGGCATGTCACTGATCTGATCCTTTGATTTGTTGTTTATAAACAACCAACCTAAAAAGAAGCACAGGCACTGAGCTTTCCCTCAAAGCTTCTTGCACCTTTTGCCTGCATGGGTTTTTCCTTCCCTCTGCCCAACCTCTCCACCCACATACTTTGCCTCCCATGCTGCCACCACTCCTGCCTGCCTATCTGTGGTAAGCCAGCATGGTTTGATATGGTTTTATCAGAGAAAAACCTGGAAATGTTTATGGTTCTTTTTAAACCCACATTCAGCATTGTACACTGCTTGTGGGATGAAGCACAGCAGAAGCGGCATCAGAGAGGCAGGGGCCTGAGCACCAGCTGGCCTGACGTGATCATACACTGCAGGCCACTTCTATGTCCTAAACCTTGTTAAATGTATCAGTTAAAGTCAGCATGTGCAAGCCTTGAAGGCTGTTCAGTGGGGAATGGTGTGCAGAATACACCCCTCACACGTACCATTTCCTGCAGTGCATGGATCACCCTTCCCACAGTGCTCCCAGAGGAGCACACCTTCCCCAGGATGCTGTCACCAGCACAGAGGTGTCCAAACAGCAGTTTTGAGGTGCTTAAGAAACTGGTCATCCAACCAGTCCCTGCTGCTGGGGACGACTGCACATCTCAAATCACTGTCAGGGTTCCATGATGAACCCCTGTCTTACATGAACCTTCTGCTGAGAAAGAGGGAGTAAAACTGGAGCAAACAAAGCAAAACAAGGACAGGGAGCCATGACAATGAATTTTCATCTCTTCATGCTTCAGTGGAGCTGATGTCAGATGATGACGCTGGCTCTCTGCCACTCAGCCAGGTGTCACTGCTGTCTCTGGACAGCTCTGTGGTAAGTCATTGCAAAGGAGGTCAAGGAAAACTACAAAATATTGAAACCACCCACCTTATCGCTCTATGAACAATTTCACATGGTTTAAAATACACATCTGGAAATGTGAAACAAAATTTCAAAATTTTGAACTTGAACTTTTACCTGAATTGGAAATAGCAGCATAAAGGGTTGCATTTCATTTTTGCTTGAAATAACTTCTTGTTGCCTTTTTAGCAACCGCTTACGTTCTTCTGAATGGATTGTGGCAGGATTTTTGTTAAGCATACAAAGTCGTACATTTTCTAGCTGCGGTTGTGGATGAAATCAACTGTCTGATGCCTGCAATTCTGAAAAACTTATTTGTAACATCTACCATTTCTATGCCATAATTCGAGACTTCCCTGGGGTTTTGTGGGTCCTCATCTTAACGATCCACTTCAGTACCACCCAATGAAGTTGCTTTTGCTGTACACCACCAATTTCAAGTAGAGTGAACATCCTTTGAGGTACTGAAGAGCTAAAATGACATTCCATTTTCTCACCTAGCAGTACTTAAATGTCCTTAAAGTACAAGCCCCTTGGAGCATGCTTCTCAATTATTGATTTGCCAGAATTAGTATTTTATTGGCATTTCTTTCCCCAGACCAATACCTGTGCAAAGCTCGGTAATTTTCCATTGCTTAATGACATCTTAATGTGTTGAAAATCCATGCACATACTTGACATTTTAGTAGTTTTTGCAGAATGACAGTCCTTTTATTTTTCAGTATCTGTTGTTCAACATACAGCCATGTGATACACTGAAGCTAAGAAAAACAGGGGAAAATTATTCACAGTAAAATTTTGAGAAGTCCACTTCTTCTAAATCAAGGCAGAAACAATTCTCATATAGTCTGTGACCAGTGACTAAATTCTACATGATTTTAAATTTACTTAGCACTATAAACAATCATTAGTGGTAATACTACTATAGCCTGAAAATAAGGCAGGGGCAAGATCTGATCTACATCTGGTTTATATTTTAGTGTTCATATTTGTATATTATTTTATATGCATACACTTGTATAAAACAACAACAAAATAAAACTGTCCCCACAACAATAAACAGGGTATATTTTACAGCTTATAAGTTATGGTATACAGTAAAACTGATATCATATCCCATAGGCTGTGGGATACAGTAATAAATAGACAAGGAATATATTAATTTGCAAATTTAACAAAGAATTTTAAAAGAGGAAGTAAGATACTGCATACAGCGGGGTTGATTCATCATTACTGCTTTTACTCCAGTTTAAAATGACACCACTTTCATGTCATGGCAAACTTGAAAGCAATGAGGCAATGAAACAGAGTCGTTACATACAGTTCAGGAGAGCTGTCATATTTTAAAAGGAACCTGAATATTTTGGAGTGCTTGATTTTGCAACCTTGAGGTTGAATCATTCACATTTAGTTTCTCTGCCTGCCTGTTTAATGTGTATATATATATATATATTTATACACACACACAAAAGTACTTGTCTTATGGTATTCACCAGCTCTGCTTTTTGCTTTGGAAGTAAATACTCAGCTTATGCCTTTGCTATGGCTGTGTCACACCAAACCAGAACCAAGCCCTGGAAACCCATGGCAGGCCCACAGGTTCATCTCACTTACACAGTGGCTGATGTGTTGGCTTTTAATGGTAAGTGGCCCCCTAAGTATCTAACCACTCTATTTATAGAACTTTAAACCCTAAACTACTTTGAAACATTCATGTATTTTACCTACTGCTAGACTGGCAATATGATTTAATTACAAGTCCGTAATCTAGATAAAAGTTTTTAAATCCACTGAAGTCAAGATGTGCAATAATATTCATACAACTACACATATAGTTGTACCTAATTCCTAATTTTGCAGTGCTGCAATTCTCCAGCAGTAACAGAAATGTGTGTATGTACATATGTAACAGAAAAGGAGCAAACCAGTGCTGACTGCTATTGGACTTATGTCTGCTATTCTCATGCTCATTGATTACATTCATATTAAAACCAGGATCAGCAGAGGACTGCTGTGGGAAGAGAAGCACAAAACGCTGCTCAAGAATGTCTGAAGCCAGATGGCCCGGCAATGTCAGACACAAAGTGATACCTTTGACTGCTAGGGCTGCTTGTGCTTCTGTTAGCCATGGCTTCTCCAGCTCCTCGCAGAGCACGATGATGCTGCATAACAGTCGTAAAAACTGTTTTAAGGTTTTGCTGCACCAGACAATTTGCCCTCTGAGCCTTGAAAGAGACAGGAGGCAGTCATGGGGTGCTGAGGGGTTAAAGGCAGCCGGTGATTTTACGTCTGGATTAGGTTTAAAGAAACAGTATGCTTCACACTGCAAATCAATGTTTATTTTACCACAGAACCATCAGAATCGAAAATAGGGCGCCAAATTGCATCTTCACTAATCTATCCCATAACAACACGGGAGCACAATTTTCAAAAACACGTATTTGTACATCTGGTAACCACTTTTGCCCCATTACTTAAAGATTAGAAATGCTTCAGGACACACATACACACGCACACATTAAAAAAGGAAAAAAAAGAAAAGAAAATTTTTTGTTGCTGTCGGAAATAGAAAGTGCCAGGTAAGTACATCATCGTTTCCTGGTCCCACTGTTGCCACTGGCAGACTTACTGAAACTTCTGCTCATCTGTGGGAAGTGTACAGTTGGCGTTCTTTCAGTGGGGCCATACAGCCCTAAATTCCTGGCTGTAGCTGACTTTCGGAGAGGCTTAACACTGGGAAAAGGATTGAAGACTTGCGGCTTTGGGTTCCCCAGCTGGGGAGATTTAGCCAGGCTTCCACTGTCACTGGATGAACTGGAGGACTCTGATAAACGTGGCTGGTTGGACTGATGGGATGTTGACTCAGCATCAGTTTTGTTATCTGAGGTGAGGTCCAGCGCTTCCAGTTTTAGCTGAACCACTGACATGTTTGTACTGCTGTCCGTAGAGGCTGGCTCAGACGGCTGCCAATCAGCTTTTGGAGGAGTCCTGTCATCCAAACCACCTCCTTCTCTTTCTCCAAAGTCAGAATGTGTGGAAGTCTCCTCCTTTGCACCAGGACTATTTGTTTTACAGCTCTCGCTCTGCTCATCTATTAGGCCTATGGTGTCCCCATAGCCCAGCTGGCCTTTGGCCCTAGCAATATTCTTCCGATGAACTCGGATGTGAGTGCGCCACGGAGAGTTCAGTTTTGTTTTAAGATCTTCTTGGGGAATGGGAGACATCTTCCCTGGAGCATGACTTGGGATGTGAATAACAGCATTTTTGAGAGACCTGTTATTCAACTTCATCTTCTTTCCTAAAAGGAGGTGGTTTATCACCGGGGAATGGTTTACCTGAGAAGGGAGGATGCTGGTAACTGGCCCTTTGTCTGAAAGTGTTTAAAAGAAACACAGTAATGTTAAAGAACAAAACAAATTAATGTTCTAAGGATCCACCATCAAATCTGATGCCTTTCTTGAGGCACAGAAAGGTCTGTAGGACTGAATTATATTTAAAAAAAAATTCACTGAATTTCTCTTATATCATACCAAAAATGGCCTCTCTGTCTTTGGAGTTGCACTGTAATGGATAGTTTAACATTAATAATTGGCTTCTGATCTTTCCCCTCTCCTTCATTTCTCTTCCAGCCATGAGAAGCAACTCAATCCCTATACAAGGGCAGTCAAATAAGTCTCTCTTATAAGGCTTGTGTGACTGGAGAATGAAACAACGTATTTCTAATGGATAAACTGCACCAACTCTTTTCTATTAGGTCCTTTTGTAAAACCAGAGCCATAGACTCAGAATTAGGTAATTAGACAACAGTTTGATTAAGCCACAAAGCCAGCCCCACATCATGATTAGTAAGATTAGAAAGGTTTGTGCTTGGGGGTTGGCAATCCTTAGGAATCAACATTTCACTGTTTGCACTGTTTCTGCTGGCTACAGCCTTTGTTCAAAGCAAATACTTTGCCAATATTAAAAAAAAACCTCTTTACAAATGATGCTAATGTTAATGAAAAGTTGAAGCTCTATGTATTCAAATCATAGAATCATAGCATCATTTAGGTTGGAAAAGACCTTTAGGATCAAATGCTCCCATTAGGACAAGTTCAGACAATCTAGGAGAGAATAAAAATTCTCAGTGGTGATCCATCTACATGGGTCAATGCTGACTTAGAAAGATGACACCAAAGTGGGGAGGAATGAGTGGGGTGGGCTGATGTTCAGCTTGCACATGCACTAAAACCTTCAGCTGCACTGTTTGTGCTAACCTCTGCATCAATGAGTTTGCCAGCTGGGGAAATAATCTCCATAGCATGGATTGTTAAACAGCAGACTGATGCCCAGCTCAGTCCTCACAGCAGTGCCATTACAGCTGGGTAAACCACAGCACAACATTTGAGCCAGTTCTTCAGCTGTGTAATTTGCCACGCGCAGATGAACTCAGAGGCGTTAGGTTAATATAGACTAGCTAGGAATCCATCTGCCACTTGGTCTGAAGTGTACTCATCTCCTCATTTCACTTTTTCCAGTGCACCAGTATGTCAATTCCAAGAATGCCAAAGATTTAAATGTTTTTAATCAGAGAGATCAACAGAATGCACCCAGGTAGCAAAGACACTTTTAAATACCATTGTTCAGCTGGTCCCTAGGACCTAAAAAAATCCCAGGGTCATCATCTTCAGATCCTGACAAAAGAAGAAAAAACATCACCTTCTCATTTACAATCCATCTGTATGAAGCGGTACCCACTGTGCTACTGATGTGTTATATATTACACAGAATCACAGAACGTTAGGGATTGGAAGGGACCTCAAAAGATCATCCAGTCCAATTCCCCTGCCGGAGCAGGAACACCTAGATGAGGTTACACAGGAAGGCGTCCAGGCAGGTTTTGAATGTCTCCAGAGAAGGAGACATTCAGATATTCCATCGGTCTCTCTTGTTTTTTTTGTCTATTTGGTTAAATGTAAAAGAATGTTATTTTCCTTGTCTCCTACAATGGAGTTAGCTTGTAATAAATCAGTAAATTAAGCATGCTTTCATATGTTACCTGGTCTGATATACACATGGTGAACCTGCTGTTGCTGCTTCTTCTTTATCCTGGAATACTGCTTTTTCAGTGCATTAATATCAGTGGTCATACGCTCCATCATCATGCTGTTAAAGGCAGCATGGTACTCGCTCCGGCAAGAGTCTATTGCTCCTGGACTTAATTCTGCAATGTTACTGGAACCCAGACTTTGTTCTTCATTCTGGTCTGCACAGAGCGGGAATAAAGTGGAGATGAGGAGTAAATCAGCATGCTCAGGAGTTTCACAGGTTATCTATAAGGAAAGTTAACGTCAGATTCCTAGCGTCTTAGTTAACTGTAATCTTTAGTTTAAAAATTATTATCATATGCATATTTAACAAAGCTGCATGATTTATAATAAGAAGTATTACATGTCTAGAACTACTGCTTAAGAATAGCAAGGGTCTGAAGGGAGTTTAAAGAGTACAAAAGCCAACTAACATAGCAATGCAAAGTCATAAGCACAGTTCTTAAATTACCCAAAAGTATATCAAGCCATCACCACAGTAATTCAGAAACAGATTATGAGACACTCAGTTGGTCAAAGAAGAGGCTAACAATGCAAATTATAAAATATATTAGAGTCAAGCAGGCACAAGATTAAACCAGCCTAGTGGTACCTGCAGGAAGCATCAGGGAAACAGTTACAGCACCACAGGGAGGAAGCTGCTAGTAGCAACAAAAGCGATACACGTAGAGTAGCTGAGGAGCAGGCAGCTTGAGAGCACCCCTGATCAACAGTGGCAGAGCAACAGCAGCAGTGCAATTTATTTTCACAGCTGCTTCTGATGCACCAGTGACACTCCAGGGTCAAGGGGATGATTCATTTCCAAGGGATGTTTGTTTGTCTTTGGCTCAGTTTGCAACAGCAGTTTGATGTTCTGACTAAGTGCTAGCTCGAAGCAGCAGGTAGAGACTTACAGTCCCTCAGCAAGGGAAAACCAAAATACCATGGCAATCGAGAGGAAAATTGCAGCTTATAGGTCTCAGCAAAACCAAGCCACAAGAATGATGGTGTGTAGTCAGATAACAGCGACTGCTACATCAGCCTGGGTTGGTTTTTTTGGGGGGAAGTGGGAGTGGATTGGGGATAAATAACTACAGCCTCTCCCAGGATATCATAAAATCACTGTTGATCCAGTACCATTTTGTAAAGGCTGGTGGCAATTTAACAAATTATCTGCTTTTCTTGTATGGATCACAATTTTGTTCTGCTTGTAGAGCTTGCACAGGTGAACATACAATTCTGTGAGAAATTTTATTTCAAGGTGGAAGGACTTGAAAAATAGTGGCATTTTGTCAGAACATCCTAAACCATACCCTAATTTATAAAAATGTGAATATACCCAAAATGTACAACAGCTTGAAGGTTTGGCCAAAAGGGCAGTGAAATAATGTGCAGAATTCGCTCTTGCTGACAGGTTCCAATATTAGCCATGCATATGCTAATAAAGGCCGAGATTATTTATTGCATGTACACTCTTCAGAAAATGCTGACTACCTAACAGCTTTCCTGGAAATAACCATGGATTTAGGGTGGACTTTCTTCCACACATGTGTTTCTTTTTGTGTGTGTGAGCAACACTATGGGGTTGGTTTTTTAACCATTACTGTAGCCAAGTCCTTAACCCACACTGTCTTTTATTGTATACATACAGCCTTCAAACTTGACTTTGAAGACATCTTCATGGACCACATAGAAATGTATCTGGTGTAATCTCTACATAAATATGAAATACAATTTTCACAGCTGCTTTGCAATGTCATGCAGTTTTAACGATGTTTGCCAAAATGAACAGAAGCACTTTTACCTTTCATCTGCTTTTGGTACTTTTGGAGCTCTGGTGCCAAAAAACCACTTAATGGTCCAAGACAGCCAATTGCATTCGCAATTGAATCTTCATCATCGAGGTCATTCTCCTCATCACTGTCTCTGGTCCTGCCGAGTCTTCTGTCAAAAAAGCATAAGAGAAATAAGAAAGAGACATTCTTAAATATGATCATTACCAAACATCTTTACCTTCTTTAGGAGCATACAAGGGAGGACATCACCTGCTTTTTCACTCTCTGTGTAAGGTAACCAGTAACTCTTTATGCCATAAGCAGTGCATTTCAAACTTACCCTGAAAATGAAGTTGATTTTACTGCTGCAGGGAAAGGAGTGATGTTGTACGTGTATTTCTCCCTCAATTCTGCCAGTTGTGGGAAGGGAAACTGAGCCATGGTATAAACAGTCTAGGGAAAAAAAATGCAGCTTTTAAAATTGTCACTTCAACTACCAGTCTCACAAAAGATTTCTCCATGAACAGACTTTCACAGCCTTGCAGGATTGAAGGCTGTACATTCTCATGTGCTGTAAGAAAATGCAAACGGTCTCATTTTATGACTTAATCAGTATTTCCTGTAAGAAAAATAAAGACTGACTCACTAGAAAAATACACGGTTCAGAGGTAAAAAAAAAAAATAAAAATTGAACAGATAACATGAGATGTAGGGTCCTTTTCAACTCCTGTACTTATTTAACAATCCTTGTCAATCTTCTTGCCAGCACACCGGAAATCCTCCAGTTATGATTTCTCTTACATGAATGAATCAATGACGGTTTTTGTGGGGTTTTTTTGAGGGTGGTTGATTTTTTTAAAAAGAAATTAGTGCTATGGTGAACAAAGAAATCTCTATGCAACTCTCTGAACTCAAAATGTAGTCCCTAGAACTTAAAACAAGGCTATAAAAAACTAATACATTTTATTTACATCAGCACTCAGAGTTAGAGGAAATAAATAGCTGCAAATGCATTTGCTTTCAGCATTATTTTTGCTTTAAGTAATTTTGTAATAACACAATGTGTGTCACCAGCCAACCTGGCATAAAGACACATCGTACTCATTGCAACGTCGCTGCTGATTTATTCCTACCTATTTTAGTTGCCTTTTTTCCCCCCCTGCTTTTGTATACTTACAACTATTCAAGACTTTCAAATAACTGATGCACAATTCACTGGGATTATCAGAAGTAAAGAAAAAACAATAGCTGAAATATAATTTCTCATCACTTCTCTGAAAAATCATTCCTTTTCCCCATCTTGAATATTAAATGTCTTCTGAAAGACAGTAGCATTAAAAATTCTCATTAGCTATGACAAAATCTTCACTTACATAGTTTTTTTCTTGTGCTATTAAGTCAGTGACATTTTCATCTGAAGGCAAATGGCCTCAATTAAGATGAAAGAAAATTCTGAACAATTTCTACATAATCCATTCTTGAACCGTGCCTTGTCTGTGCTAAATACACTAAGGAAAACTGCAAATATTAATTCAGTACTAGACCTTTCCTGACAGAACTGGGGAAAAAAAAGTTTCACCAATGGCAATGATGTAAGCAATGAGGAGCAGGAAGGACACTCCTGGCTGGATCAGGCACAGGCTTCTACTTGAAAATGCATTTGCAGTTCAAGTCATCCTTGAAGACTCTGGGGCAAGGAGAACGCCTACAGAAACCCAGAGCATGGACTGAAGCTTTGCCACTCCATGAAACCACAACGCTACTGTGAAAGGCAAATATTCTTCAGGGCCTGAACAGTAATATCCCAGCAGTCGACCAGACAAAGGAATTTTATGATCTGGAGAAAGGCCCACCTCTGGCCCAACATGTCTGCCTGTTTGTTTGATCTCCATCACACTTTCCTGCTTTTTTCCCCCCCATGTCTCAACTCTCTCCCTTCATAGAAAAGGAGGTGTGTCTGGAATTTATTTCTACTCTTTCTGTCAACAGCTTTTTCAGGTAACTTGTTCCATATGCTAGTTACCTTTTAAGTGAAACAGTCAATTTTGAGTCCTCCATTTAGTCCTTGCACCTGCTGGTTTAGATTATGCTTTTAGCTTTTGCCTGTCTCCAGTCTCTGTCTCTTCCAGATACTGGGCAATTTCTTTCATTTAGCATACGCATTTTTAACTTAATTACTTGCTATCAGATTATAGCTGGAGGCCTTGCTTTCCACCTGGCTAAGAGATCCACAAACAAATTTTATGCTGATGCAAGTTCCGCCGGAAATTAAAAAAATATTGTCAGTCAGCACCTGTGATCTCCTCACAGCAATGCTTCAAAGTCAAAGCATCCTGTTCCTAGTTTGCACACAACTCTGGATGTCATTTGGTTAATTCTGGTGAAACAGCCAGAGGAAAACAGCCTACACATATGAAGCATGATCCAGCCGAATTTATTATCTTATTTATGGCCATAAGGGACAGATTCTGGGAACAAGAAAAAAGACAAGGATAAACCCTCTCTTCTCACCTTAACTCAGTAGCCTTTGTCAGTCCTTTGCCTTACCCTAAAAATGCAAAGCCATCTACACCCTCAGCAGAATACCATACAGAAGGTTTGGGTTGTGGTTTCCAAAAGAGGGTAAGCAGTTTTGCCTTCGCAGACAACTCAGACACACTTATCTCAAGAGCTGCCTCACACTGGTTTAAGGCTCTTCTCTCTTTTCACTTTCACTAACAAAGTAAAACAAAAAGCAAAAGCAAAAACAAACCCAAAAGAAAAAGTGCTACTCTGTAGAAAGTTAACACTGAATACCACCAAATCAGGATAACTGTCTATGGGAGATAGTCTAAAATGCCAGGGTACTTCAGAGGGATTAATCCCTGCTCCCCTCCACCACAGTAAATGCACAGGGAAGCCTCTCCTTTTCCTGTTTTCTTCTCATCTCCTCTATGCTGCAATGTTTCTAGGCACACAAATTGAATTAGTTTCACCGCTTATAAAAGAGTTCGCTTTCCGAGAAGGCATGAAAGCATGTACTCAAACTAGCATACGATGTTTGGAGGATCTGCAGACACCTGGCGTACAGCCTTCTGTCTCCATGTTAGAAGCAAAGTTTATTAACAAGCCAACAAAATGACATTACAGAATACTGTGTTAGTTTAACTTCCAGTCCTGAATACATATGTGGTCTAGCATCTGATGTGTACAGCACTGACCCTTTATTTACCTAAACTGTTCAATCTGAAAAAGGAGGAAGCTGTAGGCCTGCTTGCTCCTCCAATCCCTCCACACTCTCCTCAACACAACGTTGTAAGAACTCATGCCATGCAGGGCCAAATCTGCAGAAGCTTCAAGTACTCAATCCTAAGTGTAGGTACTGTCTGCATGGGAAGGAGGGAGATGTTTTTAAGCTTGCACCAACTCTATATGCCGGTGGAGAGAACGAGGACAAGAGTCCTCTTATCTACTTTAGACATCTGGTCTGTCAACACCTGCCCCTGAGGGAGCAGCACTATCTCCCTCCTCAAACTCCTAAAGGAAACAGGCCTTTTAGAGCACCATTTGTTTTCCAGTGGCAGAGAAGTGCCTGTTACTCTTCACTGGTTTAAGTGAGCCTGGACAGGTAGTTCAGATGCAAACTTATGTGTCATGCAAGTCTAAAGAAAAGCGAGATGACTGCTACCAGCAGCCTTTA